TTATTTTATTTATTATTTTTTCACATGAGTTTTGCCAGAGGAAGAGAGACAGAGAGAGGGAGAAAGCAAGCCACCAAGTTCGGGACTTGAACCGTAGACAGTCATGTGGGAATTCTAGCACCTTAACCACCACGTCACCTGCTGGGCCCATTGCCAGGATCCTTCCTAGACCTTCCTTTGCTCATGGTTTCTGCAGACCCAGGCCAGGAGACCTCTGCCTGTGCTCCAGGGCCTGCCGGGCCGCTGTCCCAAGGCCTGGGCCCAGTTTCCTTCCCTCCATGTCTGGGAAAGTCTGAGAGGGCCGCCGGGCTCTGCCGGTCCATGAGAAAGAGCGACGGGTGAACCCTTGCTGGGAAGAGTGCAGGCTTAGGCCCTTGGAACACCCCCTCTCCCCCAAGAAGCCCTATGCCAAAGCTGACACGTCCCAGACAGACGGCACTGCAGACTGCCCCAGGAACTCCTGCCAGGAGGGTAAGACTGGTTATCTGTGGACTTCGTGGTTCATTAAAACTAAAACCTGAAGGTTCTGTGTTGTTAAAAGAATCGAGGGAGGGCCCCCCAACACACACACTCTCTCCTTACCCACTGTCCCTCTCTCATCTACCACACCCCCGCCCGTCCTGGGTAAGTTAAAGTGAGTCAGCTGCTAACTCCTCCTGCAGGTAAAATCGTGATGCACTGAATTGCCAAAGCGCATCCCTGGTTCGTGCTTCTAGCTGAGAAATTTGACACAGGTAAACAGCAGTGGACCTGTCTCTCATGGCAGGTGTTAAAGAGGAGGCTGAAGGGAATGCAAGGACAAGAGGGGGGGCTCCCCTGTGGCCATTCCCAAGGAGGCGGCATGTCACTGCCCTGCGGATGGGGACAACGCACCTGCCACCTGCGTACCTGCCGCCAGATGCAGCACCACAGTGGCAGAAGACAGCACTGCCACATTCCACTTGCCGGCCAGTCCTCTCTTGGTGAGAGATCCTTGACCCAGAAGCCTCTGTAACTCATTTCCCCTGCCTGGGTAGGTAGGAGCTCTGGGCAGGCTGGCAGTGAGGGAGGCGGGCGGGGTCACAGGGAGCATGTGGATTTAGGGTGAGCAGACCCCTCCACTGCTGGAGCAGAACATGACCCATTCCTGGGCCTCAACTTTCTCACTCAAATGACAGCGCTGGCCCCGCCTCTGTGGCACTGTCCCAGCATGCCAGGGTGTGCAGCCAGAAACCACAGGCCAGCCTCAGTTTGAGCCCCCAAACATGGGTGTGAGTGACCAGGATCCTGGATGGCTGGGGACCGGAGAAAGGAGACCTCTGCATGAGCCAGCCCTGCAGAGAGTTTCTCTCTCTCTCTCTCCAGTGCACATACACTAGCAGGAATAGAAAAAAAGAGGGTCGATGTTGACAAAGGCTGAGGCCCTCTGCAATTTAAAAAACAATCTTAGCAAATATGTGTTGAGTGCCTACTGTGTGCCAGGCTTTGCACCACGTGGTGAGGACTGCAGAAATTAAGACCCCCAAGGGCCCTGCCCTCGCGGAGCCTCTGGACCCCATGAGAAATGCGGTCACCAGGTGAGTACGACGGCTCTGGGGTGCATAGTAAGGACATCCAAAACTCTAGGTCAAGGGCCACAGGACGAGAGCACTTCAGCAGGCAGAGGTCAGAGAGGACAGAGTGTGCCAGGGGCCAAAGTCCGGCTCAGCCAGGGGTGTCCAGGGAGAAGGCCTGAGGCCAGAGAAGCAGGCCTGTAGCCCCCGGAGGGGTTCACACTGCACACAAGGAAGGGGCAGATGTGGCAGGGTTTTTGCATCCTGCCTTTTAGGGACACGCCAGGCTGGGGGG